AAACTGTTGATGCTAACATTTAGAACCAGGTTAAATAAGCAGGGACGTTCGTCTTTAGCTTGTTCTGATCAGCCAGGATTTTAGTTTCAGAGCTGTCTCAGGTGGGAGGATCAGGGAGACGTTCTTCATGAAGCAACAGGTGGCCAAACAGAAAGGTAGACAGTAGAAAAAGTGTAAAGACATTAAAAGAAGAACAAAAGAACCGAAACATGGTTGGGTTGGGACACAAAAAGTGGGAGGAGCCACAGAAAGCTGATGTGTTTGTGTTAAATGATCAGAGCTAATTCCTAGAGTGGACTCCTCAAAAGCTGCCACTCGTCTCTGATCGTCTTCCTGGTGTTTGGGAACACCAGGGCTCAGCTGACATCCTTACATCAAGTCTGTTATCCTAATCTGACGTCAAGGCAGCCTCCAAAGCTGCCATCAATATCAACCCCCACGAAAGGAGGAACGTAGACAGATGCTGTGACCCGACCGTCCCCCCCCCCCCCCCCTGCCTTTCTGCTTCGAGGTCATCAACCTGCAGGAAACTCAATGTGCTCTCTGGCCCTCCTCTCTCCCTCCCACCTGTTTGACTGCAGCTGGCCGAGCGCCGCAGACCGGCAGCTCCCGTTGGAGGATTCAGGATCCCCCCCCCCCCTATCGGAGTCTGATGTTGTATCTGTGATGTTCGTGCTTCTATGTTGAGGAGTTTTTTGTTTAGTAGAGCTACTCCCCGCTGGGTCTAACTCTGGAATGCCTTTTTTACCTTACCCCCATCATCCTCATTAACACCCTTTTCATCTAATGAAATGAGCGCCGTTCTGGCTGCTCTCGTGACTGCCTGTACCTGTTTTTGTCTACACGTGTGTGTGTGTGTAACCTTGGACAGGTTGTGTTGCGGAGTCAAGTTCCTATGCTCTGGGTCGCTGGCAGTAAAGCTGATTCTGATTCTGGTGGTGGGGGGCGGGGCATGATCTCTCCAGGTTGAGTCATTCATGGGCCGTGGGTCGACCAGCTAGGGTCTTACTCTGCTCTGTTCATCTGCCGCGTTGAACAGTGTCCTTGGGTGTCCTGAAAGGTGCCTTTAAAAGTGTATTATTATTATTATTAATATTATTATTAATGATTGGATTGGGAGGCCAGATACATCAGCTGAATGAGGTGGCCTCAGGGAGAGGAGCTGTCAGCCAGGAGGAGTTCAGATTAGAGCTGCTGCTCCTCCTCACTGGAAGAAGTCAGCTGAGGTGGTCCATGCACCCGACTAGAACGCCTCCTCGTCTTTCTGTTGGAGGTTCTCCAGGAACATCACTGGGAGAAGAGCCAGGGTCAGACCCAGAGCTTACTGAAGAAAGGGTGTATCCTTGTTGGTCAGGGGAAGCATTGGGATTCCAGGGAAAAGCTACGGAGTGTTTATGGGGAGAGAGATCCCAGCTGCTGCCTCAGCAAAACAACTTGTGGTATTGTGGGGAGGGTTAGCTGCTGCACACATGCTGGGCACCCCCATCTGGTTTTGGAAGTACGCTGTAGGTACCTTTTGGTTTGGGTTAGGGTTAATAAAACCCTATTGGTTATAGTTAGGGTATGAATATATGAATACGTGTGTGTGTGTGTGAGTGTGTGTGTGTGTGTGTGTGTGTGTACGTGTGTGTGTGTACGTGTGTGTGTGTGTGTACGTGTGTGTGTGTGTGTGTGTGTGTGTGTGTGTGTACGTGTGTGTGTGTACGTGTGTGTGTGTACGTGTGTGTGTGTGTGTACGTGTGTGTGTGTGTGTGTGTACGTGTGTGTGTACGTGTGTGTGTGTGTGTACGTGTGTGTGTGTGTGTGTGTGTGTGTGTGTGTGTACGTGTGTGTGTGTGTGTGTGTGTGTGTACGTGTGTGTGTGTACGTGTGTGTGTGTGTGTGTGTACGTGTGTGTGTGTGTGTGTGTGTACGTGTGTGTGTGTACGTGTGTGTGTGTGTGTGTGTGTGTGTGTGTGTGTGTGTGTGTGTACGTGTGTGTGTGTGTGTGTGTGTGTGTGTACGTGTGTGTGTGTGTGTGTGTGTGTGTGTGTACGTGTGTGTGTGTGTACGTGTGTGTGTGTGTGTGTGTGTGTGTGTGTGTGTGTGTGTGTGTACGTGTGTGTGTGTGTGTGTGTGTGTGTGTGTGTGTGTGTGTGTACGTGTGTGTGTGTGTGTGTGTGTGTGTGTGTGTGTGTGTGTGTGTGTGTGTACGTGTGTGTGTGTGTGTGTGTGTGTGTGTGTGTGTACGTGTGTGTGTGTACGTGTGTGTGTGTGTGTGTACGTGTGTGTGTGTGTGTGTGTGTGTGTGTGTGTGTGTGTGTGTGTACGTGCGTGTGTGTGTGTGTGTGTGTACGTGTGTGTGTGTGTGTGTGTACGTGTGTGTGTGTGTGTGTGTGTGTGTGTGTGTGTGTGTGTGTGTGTGTGTGTGTGTGTACGTGTGTGTGTGTGTGTGTGTGTGTACGTGTGTGTGTGTGTGTGTGTGTGTGTACGTGTGTGTGTGTGTGTGTGTGTGTGTGTGTGTGTGTGTACGTGTGTGTGTGTGTGTGTACGTGTGTGTGTGTGTGTGTGTGTGTGTGTGTGTGTGTGTACGTGTGTGTGTGTGTGTGTGTGTGTGTGTGTGTGTGTGTGTGTACGTGTGTGTGTGTGTGTGTACGTGTGTGTGTGTGTGTGTGTGTGTGTGTGTGTGTGTACGTGTGTGTGTGTGTGTGTGTGTGTGTGTACGTGTGTGTGTGTGTGTGTGTGTGTGTGTGTGTGTACGTGTGTGTGTGTGTGTGTGTGTGTGTGTGTGTACGTGTGTGTGTGTGTGTGTGTGTGTGTGTGTGTGTGTGTGTGTGTGTGTGTGTACGTGTGTGTGTGTGTGTGTGTGTACGTGTGTGTGTGTGTGTGTGTGTGTGTGTGTGTGTGTGTGTGTACGTGTGTGTGTGTGTGTGTGTGTACGTGTGTGTGTGTGTGTGTGTACGTGTGTGTGTGTGTGTGTGTGTGTGTGTATCCCGGAGGGCTGTTTTGGCAAGTGAAGGGTTAGAAGTGCTGAATGCTGAGTAAGCGATACCAGGCCAGAGCTGGGAGACTGCAGTGCTGCTGGCTGCAACATGACCGTGATTGGAGCTCAGACTGATACGCAGCAGAGGTGGGGGTGGGGGTGGGGGGGTGCTATAAAAATACCCAGAAGTGGAAAAATTAGACGTGTTTGTGTGAATGGATGCTCACCAGTCAGCCTGGCTGTGGCGTTTCTGACAGGAAACTAAGGTGTGTGTTTAGATTCCTTCACGCAGAAACATGCAGGTCTCCTACAGCAGGAACACACCCAAAGCCAGCAGCGCTCATACTGCATGACCATATAAGCCTGAGCCCACGCCCTGACACACACACTGCGTCAGCGCCAGCAGCCTTGTTTACTCCCTGTAACCTGTGTGCCACCGACTGGAATAGAAAAGCCCTCACCCCCCCACTCCTCCGCTCTCCTCTCATTCGTCCGTATTGCATGCTCTCCATCGTCTGAGTCACCCTCCTCTGCCTCACCCCCGCCCCTCAAGCTCGCCTCCATCCCTCGCCTCCCCCAGTCTCATTAGGAATGGTCCTGCTGAGCTTCCAGGCACGTCCATGCTCGTCTCTCTGCCTCTCACTTCCCATCCTTTTCAGCAGTCCTGCTGCAGCTACTCATGTACCTATGTGATACCCCCCAGACATGTATGCAACCCTTCCCCCGCCTGTATACTTGATTACATAACTATGTCCCTGTGGACCTGGACAACACAGCAGGGACCCTCAGTGTTAGCTGTAGCCAAAAATGATCCCTTCTCCTAAAAGGCCATAAGAGAAAAGGTAAAGAGTCTTTTAGCGATGAGGGTAGCACAAATCCATGGCTGCCATTTTGAAGTAATCCATGCTACAAACACAAGAGCTGCCTCCAAGTCTAATAGACCGCTGGACCCATGTGATGCTTAACTTACCAAACAGCGCCAGCTGCTGGTAAACATGTGGAACTGCACTGTTTGCAAGAACAAAATGAGAAACCGCAATAGCCACAGAGGTGTGAGAAGTTTCCCGCTCTTTTCAAAGGAGAAACCCTCCATCAGAACCAGAGCTGTACCATCTGTCTGAAAGGGTTACGGACAACATGGAAAAGCACGTTACCTGGGAGGAGAAGCTGATCTGACTAACCCTAACCCTCAGGCTTGTAGTTTTATTTGTAGCTTTTGTTCCTCTCTCTGACCTTGAGGTGACCTTGCAGGGACGTCGAGGGTGCTCGCTGCAGAACCACAAAGCCAGAGCTGCACCAGAGTCAGCCCCGCCCATTCACACAAACTCAGCCAAGCCCCCTGACTTCTTCTGTTTTTGTTTGTTAACTTTACCGCAAACTGACCTGACCCACATGAATGACGGCTCTTACTGGTTTACAGGTGTTAATGCTATGTTCTATGCTCCAGTTAAACAAGATAAATATATACCAAGATGGTTGCAAGATAACCCACTAGACGAGTCCTGGTTAGATATAGAACAGACACTTTGCAATGCGATAGAGCTTTCAGACTTACCATTTATTAGCTCAAGCAAAAGAAAACATGAAAGCTTCAAAAGTATTAGTATCAGCACCTCTCTGACAGCATGGTGGGAGTATCTTAAAATGACAGAGTCTTCACTAGTACCATGCAGACGCACACCTATCTGGAATAATCCTGACATTTTGCAAAATAACCAAATGATGAACCTTCCGGACTGGAAAAATAAAGGAATCCTATACCTGGAACACATATATGAAGGATTGGACTTCATCCCATTTAATAGAATAGTCTCCCAATTTGGAATGGATAAGAATAGCTTTTTAGAATATCACCAAATTAAATCTGTAGTTAAACAAAAATTTCAGCTCAATAAAATAGAATTACAAACACCACCAAGGGTATTAGACTTTTATAATCTCAAACCCCCCAAACTACTGTCTAAAGTATATAAGACACTGTCCAAAATAGACGATAGAATAGTAATCCCTATTGAAAAATGGGAGGTGGATCTATCAGTCAGCTTTGACCAGAACTTCTGGTCCCAAACTTGTTTAATAACTTTTAAAATGATCAGACACCCCAATTTACAATTAATTCAGTACAAAATTCTACACAGAGTACACTATACAGGTCATCGGATGTTCAAGATGGGGTTTGTGTCGTCTGACACCTGTACACACTGCACAAACAACGTTCCTGACAATTACGTTCATGCACTGTGGTCCTGCCCACCTGTCCAGGAATTTTGGGGTAGAGTATGTGAGGATCTGTCAAAATGTCTGAAATGTCATATCCCAACCACCCCCTCTCTTTGTCTACTGGGAAACCTGGACGATGTCCCGATTGAAACATCTTTGGCTCACGTGGTTCTGACTGCCATATGCATCGCTAAGAAAACTATCCTCTTGAATTGGAAAAATAGAGAAACTCTCTGCTCAGATGACAGATTGAATAACAACACTGGTGGTGAGTGACCTTTTATTTGTAATGCCATGCATATCAAGGTTGTTTTCTTGATGTACATTTATGCAAAACTGCATTTCCAGTTGGATTTTTATTTGGTTGAATCAACATCAGGTCACATGCATCACTGGCCAGCAGCTTTATTTATGTTGCTCATTTCAGACACAGAGGAAGTTCAATGTGCAGAAGAATGAGATGCTGCAGACGAGTGTCCCACTTAAAGTAGCTTTCCGGAGATTTCCCCTTTCAGAAATTATGTATGGTTTGTCAGAAATCCATAAAAGTGATTATCTTAAAATGTACTGTGATATAATATAAGCAATATGTCAATTTTCTTTTTTTCTGCTAAGCACACCCCCCGCCCCGCAGAGCTCCGTGCTATAGGAAACTGAGCGCCGACCAGAACTAACCAATAGCGTTAGACTACCGCTTACTTGCTTCACATTTAAGGAATACCTCGGCTGATGCAGAGTTGATGAACTTTACACAGACAAGAAAGTCTCTAAAACATAAATATATGAGAACACAACATGACATGAGAATAATACTCGTAAAACAACGTGTTTTAGCTGTTTGTCGGCTACAGAAGCACGTTCATAAGCAGAAACATGAAGTCGCCATCTTAAAAAAAATGGACGGAGTGTGATATGCTTGTCAGCCACTAGATGGTGCCATCGGATAAGAGAACTACTCCGGAAAGAAGCTTTAACTGGTCATGCCAGAGTTACCTGCTGATGAGACTTTTGTTAGCCCCAGTACCTTTCTCTGGGTGCTGCGGCTGAAAGGCACCAACAAGTCATCACGATCAAAATCAAGAGATATGCGCTCCCTTCGTCTCTCCATCTTTGACATCAGCTGGCTGGTCGAAGGTGGTTTCCCCCAAACCTAAGACAAAATAATAAAAAAAGAATCAAAGCAAGGCCTAGACGGTCACATGATATTCTTCTGTACTGTTTCCCTCATCATTAATCTTTACTTGTACATTAGGACCAAAAAATGAGCCGGAAAACAGATGAGACAGTCAGACGGCCGAAACCTACCGTTTTCGGCACAAAGCTGATGTCCACACGGTTGACCTTCCCTGCAGCGATCATGTTGTTTATGACGACGACACTCTTGGAATCCATCTGTGTTGGAGTGTTTCCTGAAGTTACAGCCGGTGTGTTTGTGTGCAGAGCCCCCGCAGCAGCAAAACTCTGTAGGGAACACCAACACATGCAATACTCATAGCAAACAGCCTCAGTCTGAGGGAGTTTAGCAACATTGAGGGGATCCAAAACAAAGGCTAGAATACAGCAGTGGAGAATATGTTTCTTGCCTGAAAATGAGGACCTCCCGTTTGTCTCTGCTTGAAGATTCTGGACTGAACTGCAACAGGAGTCTGTCTCTCTGCGGTGCTTCAGTATCTAGGCCTCGTGTGATCTGAATCGATTCCACTCAGTCCTCGTGTCAGCTTCCCTCTGCTATAAAACCGTGCATCTTGCACCCTTACCACTAGCCTGCTGTCTTCCTTTCCTTTCTCTGGCTTTCAGGTTTTCAGGAGCACTGTTGAAGAGCAGCTCTTTATCTAATGTGGACGTATGGTCTTATTATGAGCATAATTGTGCACATATATAGCATGCACATTTCCTAAAACACTGAAAAGACACCTGTAGCAGCGTTTATTTGACAGACACTTTTAGTTTAAGAGGGGAACTGTGACTGTGGCCACCTGTTTCTGTGATGACAGGGTGTAGTTTATGTACCACAGATACTCTCTACCTTGTAGGCTGCTTTAAAAGTAAAACAACACAAAGTGCATGTGTATCCTCTGGTATGTCGCGTGTCCTCATGGTCACAGTTTTAACTGAACTCATGATGTTTCTAAGCATAGTCAGCTCTCTGTAGTGTTGGTGGAACCTGGTCGTGTGTACCTCCTGCTCACAGAGAGCCCAAGTCACGCCCATCTACGTCTGGACCACAAAATAATAATAATAATAATAATAATAATAATAATAATAATAATAATAATGCATTGAACTTATATAGCGCTTTTCTAGACACCCAAGGACGCTTTCACACACTCTCACATTCACACACTGCTAGTGATGGTAAGCTACTTGTAGCCACAGCCGTCCTGGGGAGGTCTGACAGAGGCGAGGCTGCTATTTGGCGCCGTCGGTCCCTCTGACCACCACTAACACAGGCAAGATGGGTGAAGTGTCTTGCCCAAGGACACAACAGCAGGATACCCCTGGCGGGAGCTGGAATCGAACCCATGACCCTCCGATCATGAGGCAACCCGCTCTACCACCTGAGCTACTGCTGCCCCACAAAAGACTATAAAAGGCATTTTCTGATCCCGTTTTATATGTCATCACGGATTTAAAGAATAAATTGCAGGTTGATTGTTTTTCTAATTCGCACACAATGCTGTCCAAAAATACTATTTGAAAAGCTTATTTTAGAATCCTGACTACAACTTTCAACGCTCTACATGGTCAAGCCCCTCCCTATATGGCCAGGGGGTGATGCTCCGGTGTGTGTGGCAGCTTGTCTATTGCTCCGGAAGCTTTCCCTATGCTTCATGTTATTCTTTCTTCCCCTGCAATTTAGCAGTTCGACCGGGGTGTATAATCGTAAAACCTGCTCGGGACTTGCCAAGCAGCTGAAGGCTTGTCGTTCTCTGGAGGTTTTGGGCAGAATACATCACCACTACTGGATGGTTCTTTGGGCTACGTGGGCTATGTGACAAACTTACCAAGATGGAGTAGGCGCCGGAGACGGGGGAAGCAGGGATCGGCTGGACGTGGCACATCGGATGCTGTGTGGGGAGCTATTGGCTCCGAGGAGGACTGTGGGACGCCGGAGCACCAGTTGGATCCGGTGCCGTTGGATCTGGCGGCTTCCGAATTGGTGTCGATGGTGTGCGGCGGCGGGATGATCCGGTCGCGGCGCCCTGCACTACAGCGGCGAGCTTGCTGGAGAGGAGTTCACGGACAAAATCTACATGAGGTGATATGTGGATCGGCTGAGCCCTCGCCAGTGGATCCAGAAGGCTCGAGTATTACGGCATCTTCATCCGTCATCAGGTTTGCTCTGTCCAACGCCAGATCTATGATGACTAAGACTTTTATTTTGAATGGTTTTATTGAAACAAATGGTCTGGAGTTTCTGTGCGTTACTGAATCCTGGGTCCCTAAAGATGAAACTGCTGCTTTTGTGGAACTTCTCCCGGATGATTTTACATATTTTAGTGTTCCGAGACCCTCGGGGCGTGGTGGAGGATTGGCAACGATTTTGAAGTCATCAATTATGTGTAGGCAGGTATATCCATCCTCTGTGCCTACCAACTTTGAACTCTGCCTCTGTGAGCTGGGATGCTCTCAGAAGCTACTGGTTGCTGTCCTATATCGCCCACCGAGACAAAACTCAGATTTTATAGATGATTTTACTGAATTGCTTAGCGAGCTGATTCCTAAGTATGATCAAGTGTTACTTCTTGGGGACTTTAACATACATGTGTGCTGTCAGGATAAACCTTTGGTGAAAGATTTCTTAAATCTCGCGGACTCTTTTAATTTGGTTTAGTTAGTGGATCAACCCACACACGTTAGTGGCCGTACTTTAGACTTGGTGCTGTCACTGGGGGTAGGAGTCTCCAACCTGCAGGTCCAAGAGGCCTATTTTTCAGATCACAGGCCAGTACTGTTTGATGTGGCCTGGAATCACAAACGTGCAACAATATGCTCCGATGAAGCGCTGTCCGATGTTAAAAGACTCTACAGCTTCTGAGTTTGCCGCAGTGTTTTCTATGGGGGGAATGGAGCAAGACTACAGATCTTGGACCACTGAAGAGCTTTTATACACTTTGACTCAGCATGCACCATGGCGCTTGATGTGGTAGCCCCAGTACAGGTAAAGAAAACTAAAGCTAAAAAGGAACCATGGTTAACTGAGAGTACTCGAGCACTGAAAGGGATGTGCAGGAAGGCCGAGGGAGGTGGAAAAAGGATGGGCTCCAGAGCTCGCTTGACCTACTAAGAGGACATTGGATTGACTATCAGAAAGCCGTGAAAGATGCAAGGAGAAAGTACTTTGCCAATGTAATCTCCTTAAACTTTCAGAATGCTGGGATACTTTTGAAGACAGTGGACTCTATTTTAAATGTCAATGAGCCCCTTGCGATTGAGTACACCATTGAGTCATGTAACAAGTTTTTGGACTTCTTTGTGGACAAGGTAAGGGTGACAAGGGCCTCTATGCCACAACTTAAGCATGCCCCCTCTGCAGATCTATGTGTTCCAAAGGCACTGGAGGGTTTTCAACCATTAACTCTTGCAAAGCTTGAGGATCTGTTCATGAGACTTAAGCCAACAGGGGCGGTAACTGATGTTCTCCCGGCAAGGCTACTGACAGAAGTTTTTTCTGTAGTGGGTGACCATGTACTGCAAATTGTAAATAGCAGTTTGCTATCTGGGGAAGTCCCTATTTCCCTAAAGCAGGCGGTGGTACGACCTCTGCTTAAGAAATCAGGATTGGACCCAAGAATCTTGTCCAATTACAGACCTGTATCTACACTCCCTTTCATCTCAAACATCATTGAGAGGGCTGTGTTTATCCAACTGATGTCTTTTCTACAGGAACGGGAAATTGGAGAAGTATTTCAATCTGGGTTTAAACCCTTTCATAGCACTGAATTTGCACTGCTGAAGGTCCTTGACGACATTTTAGTGGCTAATGATTCCGGTGATGCTGTGTTTCTGGTGCTCTTGGACTTGACATCAGCCTTTGATTCCATTGATCATGGCATCCTAATAAACCGGCTGGAGCGATCTGTGGGCATTAAGGACCAGGCACTTAAGTGGATAAGATCCTACTTGACAGGGAGGAGTTTTTGTGTGAGGTTGAGGGACTGTTCCTCCGACCTGGCTGAGCTGCCTTGGGGAGTGCCCCAGGGATCGATATTGGCCCCACTATTTTTCTCCCTATATCTCCTACCCCTGGGGGACCTATTCCGCAAGCATGACGTGTCATTCCATCTATATGCTGACGATTGCCAGGTCATTTTTCCAATTAGGCGTGGTGGTTTATGCACCATTCAACCTCTGTTGGACTGCCTGGAGGACATCAAGCTATGGTTGGCTCAGAACTTCTTGTGTTTCAACAAAAACAAGACTGAAGTAATTCTGTTTACTCCACCAAAGACCCTAGGAGGTGCCCAAGGGCTTGGTTTTTCCACAATGGCACCGCATCAGAAGGCGGTGGTCACTAACTTAGGGGTAAAGTTGGACGCAGAGGCTCAAGTGAACGGAATCGTGAGATCTTGCTTCTTTCATCTATGCTGTATAGTGAAAATTAAGCCATTTCTGTCACGTAGTCATTTTGAAACTGTGATCCATGCCTTTGTTACCTGCAGGCTGGATTATTGCAACTCGCCATATGCGGGGCTTAGGCAAGCTCCAATAGCACGCCTCCAGGCGGTTCAGAACTCGGCTGCTCGGTTGTTAACATCTACCAGGAGGTCTGAACATATTACACCAGTCCTACGTGCCTTGCATTGGCTCCCCTGTCTCCTGTCGCATCAGGTTTAAGGTCATCCTGTTTGTGTTTAAGGCGTTAAACTCAGGGGCACCTAAATACCTTTCTGACATCATCCACCGACATGTCCCGGTGCGTTCCCTTAGGTCAGCTGACCAGAGATTACTAACTGTGCCCAGGTACAGCCTGAAATCTCGTGGGAGTCGTGCCTTTTCAGTGCTCGGACCAAGTCTTTGGAATGAGCTGCCAGCCGATGTAAAGCAGGCCAAATCACTTGAGACCTTTAAAAGCCGACTAAAAACACATCTGTTCTCGTTGGTGTTTGGACATTGAAGTTGGGATTGCGTGGGCAGCATCACTTTGAATGTGTCTGGATCTGATTCTGGTAAAAGGACTGATATGGATTGTGAACTTGTACTCGAGATTTCTTATTGTAATTTAAATGGTTATAGGTCCATTTTATTGTCGTGATTTTTATTGGTGTACAGCGCTTTGTTTGTCAGTTTTGGGCATGTGAAAGCGCTTTATATATAAAGTTGAAATGATTTTGATTTTATTCATATTACTGAACTGTTGAAGCCTTATGCTCCAACCAGAGTCCTCAGGTCCACCCACCAGAACCTTCTAGAAGTTCCAAACACCAGGTATAAAAGTCGAGATGATCGTTCCTTCCAGA